CAGTGAAAATATGGGGGATTTCACCATTGAAAAGTAAAGATGTAATTTAGAACACTAGACTATGATTTCGATTAATTACTATAGATTAAAGTTATCAATACAAAAACATGTGGCTGTGCTATTATTGAAAAATACTGACCTTTGTAGGAAAAGTTATGCCCACTTGTGCAACATTCTTCAAAGAAACCAGCATATTTCTTATGGATTGCTCCAATCTCTGTCGTTCCATCAGTTCCGAACAACTATGAAAATGCAGAAATATGTACAATTGAGAAGTAATATTTAGTCGGACATCGATTTTAACTGACTATTAGCTTATCTACTGATTAGTTGTTATGACACCAAGGAATTCACACACAGCACACGAAAAAAATTGCTACTCACGGTAAACTTATGGGCACAACAACAACTACACGGGCCATCACAAATACATTTAGGGCCCAGAATGGTTAAAGTAGTCGTTTCATTAGTGTCTTTGAGTATATAATGCATTCGGCAGCAACTACCACTGAAAATTGGCAGAAATATTCGAGGAAAGGTTTGATAGAAATACAGTTTGGTTACCCTTGTGTGACAGTACCAATGAGATTTCCTGGTGGAGCTTCAATAGTAACTACTTGTCGACAACTTTCACAGTAAGAGAACCAACAACATCCGGCGCAACAGCTGAATTCCCGATGGATTCGGATGATTTCCTAATGAGTGATCGAAAATACGAACACAATACAATAGTATACAGTTATGACTCACCTGTCTGCTATTGTCGACGATATGTAACGTAAAACGTCGAAGGGGTGTGCACCAGCAACGCTGACACCATGTCGATTCTGAAATATATTTAGAAGCAGTTCTCAGGTTTTAAAGAATTATATCTGATTTGAGAACCTTCGAACGCATACAAAATTTGTTCATTATTATTATTGAAGATACCATATTTAGCCTGAGATGCGACACCGAGCATTGCTGAAACATTAATAAATTCAATCATGATATATTCCATTCTCACATTTACTTTCAGTTACTGATGCCCGATGCTTGATCAACAGGGAATCGATTGTTTTGAAAATGTCAATGCCACGTGACATATCTTTTAAACCGGAAATTCGCCCAGAAAAATCTGTAGGAACTGTGTAGTCTGATCGATTCATTATATAATGTTCTTGCTACTTTTCAATGATTGTTATTTTCGCTGTTCTGTTAATGTTAACCGTTTTTCTTTTCTGTCATGAGCACGTTTCTCAATTGTAATTCTCCTCTCTTTCATACTTGTAAGAAAAGCATGAACCTTTACGTTTTTAAAAGGAGGAAAAAATTGAGAGAAGAAATGGTGATTGAAGCTGACGGAAGGCACACACTAAAATAAAATGTGTCGCAACGAGCACATCGTGTCGTACTTGTGTTGCATCTCTTGCGTTCTGCACTGGGTATATAACATCACCCAGTGTAGAACGCAAGAGATGCGACACATTTTATTTTAGTGTGTGCCTTCCGTCAGCTTCAATCACCATTTCATCTCTCAATTTTTTCCTCCTTTTAAAAACGTAAAGGTTCATGCTTTTCTTACAAGTATGAAAGAGAGGAGAATTACAATTGAGAAACGTGCTCATGACAGAAAAGAAAAACGGTTAACATTAACAGAACAGCGAAAATAACAATCATTGAAAAGTAGCAAGAACATTATATAATGAATCGATCAGACTACACAGTTCCTACAGATTTTTCTGGGCGAATTTCCGGTTTAAAAGATATGTCACGTGGCATTGACATTTTCAAAACAATCGATTCCCTGTTGATCAAGCATCGAGCATCAGTAACTGAAGGTAAAAAAAACAAAACACAAAAATCACAACAAAAAATATACATTGACGGTTAACATCGAGTCATTGCACAACTTCAATCATTCTGTAGAATATAGGAAAGAACAGCGAAGTTGATTTTTGTTTAATGAAACGAGACAGTTTGAACTAACTGTATACAATCTGCTATGTTTATCTATGATGCTACCTGTAATTGATCTTACTATGAGTCGTGGCAAAAAAGCACAGACAATTGCGCATGGCGTATGCATATTTGTCAACTGCATTTCGACATGTCTCATCCTGTTTGTTCCAAAACTGAGGCTTCTATTCACCATCAAAGATCGAAAACGATCGTGTGGTTGAACGTTCACATTTAGTCAAACCGCGACATTAGCGTCCATATTGAATAAAAGTAAAGCTAAAATCAAGCTTAAGCAAATTCAGTTTTTAATAAGAGAAGCGCGGACGAAGAGAGAAACCTCAGCAAGTTAAAACAGATTTTATCCGTCTAAACTCATCACCTTCGACCACCAACTAGATTTCAAATATATTTAAGACAGTTTAGTGGTATTCTGACTATTGGGAGAAAACGGTTTATTTATGAGAGGTGCTAGGTATAACGTAGGTTCTTTTTTGAACTAGAGAGTACGGTCTCAGTCCTTTTTTCTCACGTGAGCACGAGCAGTGCATCACACCACTCAGTCAGTGATAAGCAAGAAATAAATTGTCAAATCATCAGAAGCAACTAGCAAAGGAAGGTGTTAACGCTCATATAGATAACGTTAGTCAAGATGTTATGTTAGACAACGACAGGAAGACGTCGTTTAATGCAGTGAGGTTGCCGAAGCAGAACTGCAGAGTGTTGTTATCCCGATTTGTCGGTGTTGCATTTCTTCAGATAGCCAGGTACAATGCTTTGCGATTCCTGACTATCTGTGATGTTTTTTTCAGCTGGCTAACAAATATAGATTAAACTAACTGCAGAATGTTGTTTCACTCAATAATGATGAACAAAGATATAGTTTTCAGCACTTTTTATCTATTGCCACTAATTTTACTCGTTACCATTCGGTCAGCGATTACAGAGAATTTTCTAATTCGTTAAAAGTTTACGTCATTTTAGGTCAGTAACGAGCTCTCCCAGATGTTTTTCGTTACCGAGAATTCTTGCAGTTACGAACAACCCTCCCTAATAAAGTCCCCAGGGATTCCTCGGGGAGTCCTCTAAAAACCCCTAGGGAGTTCCTGTAGGTCTATTGGTCCATCTTTTTTAATTTCATATAAATAATTAGTAATTAAGTGTCAGGTACCATCGCTGGTACTAGTATAGCACATATCATCGATCGAAGGTTGACACATTAATCGTTGACTTAAGAAAATTCTTAAAGTTTATATCATAGAACTATATTACATCTATATATTGTCTATCTGCAAAAAAAACGGTGAATGGAGAGTTGGGAGGGACTCTCCAGGGATTGCACATTTTTAGGAACTCCCCAGGGACTTTGAGGGCGACTTCCTAGGGAGTCCTCGGGGATTATGCATTTTTCGTGAAGTTCCCGGGGACTTTGAGGGGAAGAGTCGACCAGGGCCATTTTGCTCCTAATTGTGTGACATTTCCAAAACGGTGTTAGAAAATGTATTGAAAGTGTATCATCATAAGGTTAACATTCCCTAAAAGCTTAATTCAGATCGGACTAATAGTTCGGGCCTTAACCTTGATCCGTCCATCTGGGGTCCCCATGGACCCCAGACGAAAACGTGTGCTCTGAAGATATGCTTACTGCTCTGTCAGATAACTAATGAGTGGATGCAATCAGTTCATATTGATAGTACACCCTATTGTCATTCAGTGGAATATAAAATTGAAGGGGTAAAATCTAATCGTTGTGTTCATGCAACATCCAAATGAAACTGGTACACTGTAAAAAATAAAGTGGGTCACCAATGAGTAAAATCGTCTCAGTAGGTAAAACGGATCCACTTAGATAGATCACGGCTAGCTAGGTCATCTCTGTAACTCAGAGACACACTATCACTGTGTCACTGACCTACTGACGCCACAGTTTCCTTAGTATTCCTCAATGGGTAAAACGGATCCATCTGGATGAGTCGCTCTCACTGACCTACTTTGTTTTTTACAGTCTATAATTTGGGCATATTATAGGTGGTCGGAATTATAGGTGGTTAAGAAAACGCTTTTATAAGCGAAAATTTTGTATTTACGGGTTACTACAGACGGAGAAATGATTGAGCAAAACTAGAAAACAAGTAACATTCTTCCCGGATTCAGGGATCCTTAACTGGAAGAGCTTGAGACAGATGAATTTAGCAACAAACGCAAGAAGTAAAGTCTGAGGTCTCCTTCTGTTAGCCTTCGCAATCCCACACTAAAGTGTTTCATGATTTATCCTCTGTTTACGAGTACTTCTCACGACTTTTCCCTATCATGCGTCTGTTTTCATCACAAAACATAAGTTATAACATAGATCATTTTTAGCAAATCCATTAAGGTCATTCCTACTGAGCGATAGTGCTCTCTCTCGTTTTAAAGTGTTCGTAAATTGTTCTGCGGACATCCAGACCAGCATTTTTTCATATGACCCAGACATTCAGTTACAGGAAGAAAATAATTTTTGATCGGATTATGTGGTTTCTCGATGAACTGGAGGACTGTTCTTAAGTGTTCTTCAACTGTATAATCTTTCTTTATCATGTAGAACTTGCTGCGCTGAAACTTGCTGCTAGCCGAACAAATCTATATAAAAGTGCTGGTTCCTAATATATGATCATCCATTTTTCATTGACAGATGAACAATGAATAATAGATCGAATACAAAAAAGTCAGTTATAATGCCACAATCAACCCAAAAATCATTATTAACTAATATTTTTCAAGCATTGACAAATAATGATGAAGATGGTCAAATATTTTTCGATACAATCTATTCTCAATTCTATATCAAGTATCAAACTCTACTTTCACAGCAAGAACTATGGCGGCTGATCGAGTTAATAAGAACCAATATTAAGTTTGCCAAGCAAAAAAATATTAATAATCGTAGTGATGCCTACTTTTATATATTACATAAATTTGATCAATATTCGAAGCCATTTCTACAAAATTTGAAAAACATTCTTGATCAATTGCATACAGACGTTCTGGCATACTTAGAGACGACTTTTAAAGCTACGAAAGGTATGGCTCCCAATGTGTGTATAACGGATGGAGCAGCACTTAAAGAAATAAATTATTCTTACTATATTAAAACATATAATCTTGACCAAAAGTTAGAAATGTATTTCAGTTTATGTAAACTAGTACTTCAAGCAAGAGTTTATACTGAAGAACATTTTACATGGCTACATTTATTAAAACAAAGAGAATCATCATTAGTGGAAGAAAAATCCATGTTTCTCGATAAATATATAGAATTTTCATCAGCATTTGCACCATTTCCAATCGATGTATCATCTTTTATTTATATTGTACAACGTATAAAATGTCCATTGCAAAAACGTTCGACTATATGGAAAAAATGGAACTCAATGAAGAAGAATTTTTCACCAATTTTTTACAAATATTTCTGCAAAATATGAAATATGAATGTTATTCAATAGTTGAAGTATCCGATATTTTCAGTTCGTTAATAAAATATGAAAATTTATTTTTGAATTATTGCCCATATATATTCAGAAATCTGGATCATATTCAAGATGCTTTGTCATTCTTTCTTTCGTTAACAGTCAAAGACATACCACTAACATGTCAGTCATGTTTAGCAACTGAGATGTATAGAAAAATTAATTCTATTAAAATATTCAAAGAATTTTTTAATTTTACTATTGTTCATATGCAAGAAAGTAATTCAATTATTTTGAAAAAGCTCACAGAATTAATATCCGACAAGATTATGGAAGAGTGTATTAGAGAATTACATAAAGTGACTTGTGAAGATGATATAAAAATCTTATTAGGAACATCAATTCAAATACATCGATATAAACCATACATAAAACATCTTATTAAATGTTAAATTGAATTTGTAGGTATGTCTAATGTAACATCTACTAAAAAATTATTAAAACTATTTGATGTATTAAACACAATGAATGATCTGTGGGAAACAGTTGATCCGTCAATAATAAATAACGATTGGATTATAAACTATGTTTTCAAATCACCCACTGAAATGATGGAAGTATCGTATAATCTATATCAAAATCGAAAATTAATTGATAAATGTCAACAATTCATTGATTATCTATTTATGTGAACAAATTGTTTCTCATAATTTGTCAGAATTTCAACCTCACCAGTATGATAGAATATTAGTGATGTGGAATGATCGGCTAAACTGTCTTAATATCAATGATGATAAAACAGAAGATTTTATATTGTCTTCTTTAATATCGACTTTAATCCACATGACTTCCGGCTATCTGAAACCATTGAAACTACCAAAAATGGATAATATTATAGTATATCTCAATAAAGTAAAACATTTCAAAAATTTATCATCATTAGTCAAGGCGAATATAACTACATTTGAACAATACCGTCAACAAATACTTTCATTATTCGAAGATATTTTATTTTTAAAAAGTACTCGTGCAATGTACGAAGAAATTTTTGCAAATATTGATTGTCTTTCAACATTAAGTCTTTTTATGGATGATAATGAATTTTTGACAACACATCTTATAACAACAGATCTATTACAATTTCCACCGTTAAATGAAATAATTATTCACTTCATTGATAGTTTAAAGCAACCGATGAATATCACATTAACGAATGGTATGATTGATGTAGTACAACAGAGCGGTGAATGGATGAAAATGTTTGACTTATTTATTGATGCATTTACATCTCTTATTGAATCAAATCAATCGAACGTCTGCACATGACAAAGAGATCAGTTTTCCTATTTTACAAGATAATGGTGAAATTCGACGGCTAATATTACGAGCAATGAGTGGATTAAGCGTGAATAAAATATCTATTAAAAATTTTGTACAATTTCTTTGTCGACGTTTTCAGTTTTTTCTTTCGCCATATTATCGTTTTAATACGATACCCGATCTTGGTTCAGCTATAATAACACAAATGATTGAAAAAGCAAAAAGTCTTGTGAATATTAATTTTAGTGATGAAAACTTCCGTAAAGTATATCTTGTTTACGATCAAGGTTTTTCATTACAATTACTACATCCGGATTGGAATATTGTACCACCACACATAAAAAAATTATTTGGCGAAAATCCATTAAAACGAACGATTTATATTGATAAAGATCCGTTTGTTCTGTTACTTTCATGGTTATTAAACGTTTCCGAAAATCATTTTATGGAATTATTACTGAAAACAAAATTCGTATTAACAGAAAGTATTACTTATAAATTATTTCATTTACACGAACGAAAATTAACACGTAATCCACTTATCATTGAAGGAGACACAGGTTAGTGGAAAAATGCGTTTGAAACATTTGTTTCAGAGTGGCTACATTTTCTAGTTGATATGTAATATCTTTTTGAATAGAGACCCTGCAGCAAATAAGGTGCTTGTCCTACCAACAGACAGAACAGGTCTTTTATATATATATCAACTTTCAAAATATTATTTTTCTCTCAGTAAGAATTTTTGACAGATATAGAAGCTGTTCTTTCCAGATAAACAATAGTCTTTTGTCCTTAAAACTATTAATGGGTGATGCAAAAGCCTTTTCCCTTTTCTGTCTGCTTCATATCTCGGTAGAATCATTGTACACACTTACATCTTTTTCCATTGGAATGAGCAGATTCTAGACGAAGAAATTTCTAAGAACAGTAAGCTGAAAGCAGTTGGAAAAAGAGAGATTATTTTTAGAAGCCAAATCACTTGTAAAAGTCACCTTCGAAAATAAGGAATGAATATTTCATTTGATCAGTTTGTTGTTTCTCTTTTAGAGTTGTCTGGGCGATCTTCGTGATCTGTCCTTTCCTATGACACCAAAATGTGCTGTACCCCCCCCCCCCCCCCCAAAAACACCCCACCCCCCCCCCCCCCCCCGGCGCGGCCCCCCCCCCCCCCCCCCCCCGCTCGGCAAAGAATTTATTGACTTTCAACTGTAAATCTATCATTAAAACCTAATTTTTTCGTCAAATTTTCCTCAAATACGATACANGTCGGCGATCTGGCCCTCCCATCCCCCACAAAAGCGGGGTCCCCCCCCCCCCCCCCCCCACAATAGAAGACCACCTGGTCTTCTATTTTGTCCCGCAAGTCAAGTTCTAAAGGGTGGTCTTCTATTGCGGTCAAATTTTGTCGGCTGCTAGTAGTCCAACGGTAACCCCTCACATACTTGAAGTCCATCTTCTATTAGAAGAACATTTTGGCAAAAGTTTTTTGAAAACTACCCTATAGGTAGGTATAGGGCATTTTCTGATTTTTTTTGGCGGACATAATAGAAGACTAGTGGTCTTCAGGAGTTAGAAGACCATGGTCATCCAGTCATGTACTCGGCAGTGATCTTCTAATAGGGGATGGCCTTCTATTATGGGGGGGGTGGGGAGTTTATATTGTATAATGAGGAGTTTAGTTGAAAAAGGTAGAAAGGTGAAATCTGTGCAAAAATGAAGTCACCTATATACCATTACTTGAGCAAATAGGTCCTATCCTAAACAAAAAGAGCTTTCATTTGACATACAATATGTTAGCTAACCATTTACTTCACAAAAATAGAAATGTTCTTATTTAGAGTCATCAGAGCGTTAGATAGTTTCAAACTAGTGTTCTCACTCCTTTACTAGACGCTTTTTATCCCAAAACCATCATAAAGTTTTCTTTTTAAGTCTTCTCTTGTCCTATGTGTACACTACAAAGTGTATTTAAAGTTCTTGAATTTTTAGTAGCTTAATTTCCAAAAGATTTCAATGACAGTGAAACTTCATGTCACTTTGTCTAATGTTTAGGTATGGGAAAAACATTTTTGTTAAAATTTTACTCCTTACTCCTCAATTCAAGAGTAATCAACGATCGCGATCTTGATTGCGCACCATGTATAATCGAAAGGATTAGTTTATGGTTATTACATGAGATAATTATTAAACTAGAAGGTACAGCATTAGTAGTAAGCAAAAAACTTGCGCAAGTCATTCATCCATATTTTACTTTAAAACATGAAATAACTGATCATGACACCGAAGATATGAGTCAAGAAGATTTGAATCTGACAATAGATGAACAAAATCAAAATGATACTGATGATCTCGTACAACAAATGAAACATTCATTGCAAAATTTCTTATACCCGTTAAGAGTTCTAAGAAAATTATGGAAAACAATTCTCCTCTTAACAAGTAAATTCGATGATATTCAGCAATCAAATATAGTGCAGATGTTAATAGAAAATTTGTATAATTATATTTTGTTACGATTATCGGCTGTCCATTTGCTGGATAGTAGTCAACGTTTACAAAAACTTCTCATAGAATCTCAAGCAAAACTTACAGTGAAAAACAGTATACATTTATTTAATGAGTATATTACACATACAGAAATAAAACCATTATTCTATCGTTTACTTCTACATCCTGGTATAACCGAAGAACATTTGGAAGAATTTATGAAACCTATCATTATGTTAGCAAATCTATTGCAATCCATCGAATTAGTCGTGTTTTTCGATGAAGTTAACACATCATCTTGTCTCGCTTTGTTTAAAGAAATGTTTATGGATAGATCATTGTGTGGTCAGCCTTTACCAGAAAATATTTTCTTCACAGCAGCTATAAATCTATTTAACAAAACTGATCAAGATGCAACAAAAATTAATCAATCATCAATTATTCACCGAAATGACTATCTCGTACATAAACTTCCTTCAGCGTTAGAATATTTAAAATGTTCATACGGTACGTTACCGATTAGTCAATTGCAAAAGTATGTTGAACGTAAAATCGCTTTATTTCATGTTGATGCTATTGAAGATATGCCATTTCAAGATTACACTCAAGAAATATTATCTGATGCCATAGTCTGTGCTCAACGATTTTGTTTATCACGTTTAGGAGTAAATTCGGTTAGTCAACGTGAAATAGAAAGATGTTTTCAAATCATTAGCTTTTTTTGGACAACAAAATACACCACCGATGATGAACAAAATTCAGTCAGATGCATTACTTTAGCTATAGCGATGGTATATTATTTTCGTTTGCCAACGCAAGATGATAGACAAAAACAGAACTTCAACGACGAAGCAACACGCGAAGAATTTTCTAAAGCACTATCTAGAACAATACCTGATTTTGGTGAAATAGTACAGAAGGAGTTAGAAAAATTTGTTACAACAGAAAATGTTTTGCTACCACCTGGTGTTGCATTAAACCAGGCTATAAAAGAACATATATTTGCTATTGTCGTTAGTGTTTGCACACGAACACCACTGTGTATTATAGGTCCACCCGGTCAATCGAAAACACTCAGTTTTCAAATTATCTTACAAAATCTACAAGGGTCTCTATTATCACCGAAACCTTTTTATAGGAATCTACCTTCAATAGATCCTTTTTTCTGTCTGGGCTCAAAATACAGTCGACCAGAAGAGATAGGAGCCGTATTCGAGCGTGCCATACGACGAGAACAACGATATGAACAAAATCGAATTAATACAAGATGTGTGGTTTTCTTGGATGAAGCTGGACTTCCTGATGAGAAAAAAAGTGTTCTTAAAGTGTTGCATCCTTATTTGGATGAAGGCAAAGTAGCATTTATGGCTATATCCAATAAACTTTTCGATGCTGCGAATGCTAATCGAATGATGTGTATCTATCGATCATTACCATCGGAGCAAGATCAACTAACGTTAGCATTTGGATGCCTTGGTTTACCATATCCTGATGAAAAGATTGATCTTCATTTAGCAAAAATGATTACTGGTTTATGTAAAGCATATCGTGAAGTTTTAAATTGTGTCGATATTCCTAAAATATTTCACGATAGAGATTTTATATATATGCTACGTGAATTACGTTTTGAACTGAATTCGAATTTAAATGATTGGTCTGCATATCGTATATGCAATACAAATATAAATGTGACACCAACTAGTCTATTACGTGCATTAGAAACAAATTTCAATGGTACTGGAAGATCTCAGTTCGAGAAGCTAGTAGGGCTTTTTTTTCAAATCTATCAGTGATGAATGTAATATTGATTTTCGAATGCCAAAGGAGAGTGAATATCGAAGTTCAGTTGTAGTTTTACATGATTCAATGCAACTGGAATCAACCAGACGACGTTTGTATGGACGCTATAAATTAGTTATTGATGAAAGTGAAGATGAATCTGTCGCACGGTTTTTATTTGAAGAAGGTATATTAGATTTAAATTCAAAAACAACGGCTATTTTTTGTATGTCTGATTTTGAAGCCGATACTGAAAATGAACTGCGTAACGTTGAAATGTTATCAACGATTAAATTGTGTATGGAATCCGGAAAAACGATAATGATGATCAATACGGGTAGAATTCATGATTCACTCTACGATGTATTTAATCAAAACTTTAGTATTGTGGCTACAGAAAATGAACGAAAAATCTTTTCGAAAGTAGCTATTGAAGCGCAAACAGTAGATTGTATTGTACATGAAAAATTTCAGTGTATTGTTTACATAAAACGATTAGACTTAAAAGACATGCCACCACCGTTTCTGAGTCGATTTCAAAAATATTCAGTTGGAATTAATGATTTTTATCGTATACAACTAGAAAAACTACCATTCACTCAACAAGAAATCATAAGGAACGTTGAAGAAAAAGTACAATCATTTGTCACACACTTTGGTGAAAAATATTTTTCAGGTTATACTAAAAGTACAATTTATTCAATATTATTAACATTAATCAAAAATTCAAAACAATTGCAACCACAACAAAAAGTGCAACGGTCATTGACAACAGAAGAGCTTTGATTTGACAATTTATTTCTTGCTTATCACTGACTGACATGAGTGGTGTGATGCACTGCTCGTGCTCACGTGAGAAAAAAGGACTGAGACCGTACTCTCTAGTTCAAAAAAGAACCTACGTTATACCTAGCACCTCTCAATGTATATTTCTTGTTGTGATTTTTGTGTTATGTTTTTTTTACCTTCAGTTACTGATGCTCGATGCTTGATCAACAAGGAATCGATTGTTTTGAAAATGTCAATGCCACGTGACATATCTTTTAAGCCGGAAATTCGTCCAGAAAAATCTGTAGGAACTGTGTAGTCTGATCGATTCATTATATAATGTTCTTGTTACTTTTCAATGATTGTTATTTTCGCTGTTCTGTTAATGTTAACCGACCTTCAAGGCAAAAAGGTGTTCTTTCTTTCTTTTCTGTCATGAGCAGGTTTCTCAATTGTAATTCTCCTCTCTTTCATACTTGTAAGAAAAGCATGAACCTTTACGTTTTTAAAAGGAGGAAAAAATTGAGAG